TGATTAAAATATGAATTATTTTTTATAATTTTAAAAATTATATTTTATTTTGAGGTTTTTAATTTCGTAACAAATTGCTTATTTTATTAATAAATTATCAAGTCAATTAATAATTTTTAATGATATTTAAAATATATTTTAATTAATAATTTAAGTAATTTCATTATTTTATAAGAAAACAATTATAAATTTTATTTTTTTGAGTTAATTCTGTTAAATAAAAAATTCTAATAAAAGATATTTATAATTTTTCAAATCATAAGGAATAATCTGTATTTTGAGTAAATTTTAAAAATTGTATTTGCAATATATCCTTTATTTATTTTTAATTTTCCAAAATTGGATTCGATAGGGTTTGCTATTTACAGGAATAGACCTCGATTAATGTTGTTTCGTATTGGTCCCCACTTCCTAGTACTGGTTCCAATGTTTGGATTGCGTGAACTTAAGTTGTCTTGCCTCTTCCTGTTCCCACATCTCTGAAAGATTTGAGGAATTTTATTTACACCTAAAAAAATGTATAAGTGAGTTTAATTTTTTAATATATTTTATTAAATTATTTCAGATTATAATTTATTTTCAGTTTATTTTATTTATTTTTTTTTGAAATACTCTTTTGAGGTACACTCAAATAAAATAAATTTTAAATTATTTTTAAAAAACTTTTTTTTTATTCATGTACATGTAGGAATCCGACAACAACGAAGGCGTTACATACAAAGAAAAAAGGCGAAGTAAGAACATACCAACCACGTCCTTGATTTAGCAAATATCAAATTCAATTACACCAACATTTTTTTTCTTTTACCAAGTTGAAATTAACAAGAGACGTGAGGAATATAATAAGGATAGCCGCGACTATTGACAAAGCAAACAGTGCAGTTGGGTTGTATGCTCTTTGAACAACCTTGATATTATTGAGCAACCTGTAATATAATACAAGTATATGACCAAGAAAATCATTCAGTGCATTTAATTTCAGTTTTTTGAATTTAATTTTTTAAAAATTGAGTTTTTAATTTTTCTTTTTTTTTTTTGTTTTTAGTGAATATTTTTAAAATTTTAAGCAATTTTTTTACTTTTTTAGATGCACCTTATTTAGATGTATCTAAATAGTAAAATATTTGTGAAAAAATATTTTAAAAAATTAATAAATATACAAAAATATGAAAAATATACTGAATTTTTTTTTGGGGTTATATTTTTGATATTTCGTGAATTTTTTAAAGATATTTTTCACAAATATTATACTTTTTAAGTGTATTTATGTTAGGTGTGTTTAAAAATTAAAAAAAATGCTTAAAATGTTAAAAAAATTCATTAAAAACAAAAAAAAATACGAAAAATAAAAAAGTAGAATTTTTTGAAAAGTGTTTTCTAGAAACCAAAACCGAAACCAAAACCAAACAATCTGATTCATTTTTTAATTTTTTGACTGGATACTGATATTCGAATTTTGGATCTGCATCTGAGTATGAAAGGCAAATGGGTAATTGGAAGCTGAGTTGTATGTAATTTTGCATCCGTAAAGCTTTACATAGTCATTTTGTTCGGTTGTACAAAGTCAATTTGGTGAAGTGGATCGAAATTTTAGAGGGAGCAAGAAGAAGAGAGAATAATTAAAACTTGAAGAAGAAAATGAAGAGATTTGAATGGAAAGAACACTTATAATTGATTAGGATGTAGTACGGGAAAAAATAATATTTTGTTTTAAGGTTTAATATGTGTTATTCTTATTAGTAAATTCTCATTAATAGGAATTGAAATTTTAAAATTTAAGTTGAGTGTACTGAGATAATTTCTTGGTTCAAATAGAATGGCCTGAAAGATTTAGCTTTCAACTTTCAATTAGACTAGACAGTTAAGATTTTTTATCAACAAAAATTTCTTATTGATAAGAATCTATAAAAACATGACCTAGTTAATTTTTTTTTCAAAATTTTTTACCGATAAGAATATTCCTTTTAATGACTCTTACCGGTTAGAGTTTTTCGTTTAATGATTCTTACTGGTTAGAGACCTCAACTGTTCAATTCTTACCGATTAGAGACCTCAACTATTTGGTCAAGTTAGAATTTTAATTGGAAACAAACCATTCTCTTTATGAAAATCTTGTGTTATTTTTTATGTAGCAAAAGATTATAATCTTATGTTGTTCTTTTTGGACTATGAAAAAATATATATATTTTATACTTTTACTCACTTTTTTTTTGTTTTTTTTTTTGGATAAAATACAAATACACTTTTTGAGATTTGTTTAAAATACGAGTTACCCCCTGTAATTTAAAAAATTATAAATATCTTCTTATCAAATTTTTTTATTTAATAGACATTAATTATAAAAGTGAAATTTTTAATTGTTCTCATATACAATAATAAAATTATCTGCATTATTAATTGAAATAAAATTTTAACATTATTAAAACTGTTAATTAATTTGATGATTTATTAACAAAAGAGCTATTTGTTATGAAATTAAAAATCTTAGGGGCATAATATAATTTTCAAAACTATAAGACTAATTCATAATTTAAATTAACTTCTAGGGTGTGTCTATAATTTACCTTCCAGTTTTTTTTTTTTTTTTTGGGTAATCCAAATTTATGTTCACGATAACATAGTAAGTTATAAGTCAATTTTTTATGATCATACAAAGACCAATTCTATCTAATCTTTCATTTTCTTTTTCTTGTTTTAAAGGTTTGTTTAGCCTAGATATACCTGAATGGTACTTTTTTTTGTAAATAATCAAAAAAGGCTGTTAAAAAAGAAAAATAAGTCCCCCAAAAACCCCCAACTTATGGGATCTAATTATTTAAAGAGTAAATTTCACTAATCTCTTTAGCCTCATTCTATCAATAACTTGTTAGTTACATGGATGAAAAAAAAATATATATATTATAATAACTTTTACATTAAAATTTATATATTACTTATGTTTATCCTTGTGTCTACCTATTCTTTTTATTAGCTTCAGTCATTTTAGTTTTATTATAAAAAAAAAAAAAAAGACATCAAATTTGTAATACTTGTTGTATTTTTTCTAAGGGTAAATATCAAGAATGATTAGTGTTATTTATTTCTACTTGAATCATTTCAATTCATTCTAATATGATCGTTTGAATTTGCTCAGCGTTTGACTCTCCTATATATGAAAAGTTAAGAAAATTCTCAACTAACAGCATATAATGCTTCTAAAAAATTATTTTTCACAACACAAAAAAGTGTATCTAACACAAATATATATATATATATATATATATATAATATTTGTCATGTTAAACATATTTTGACATAAACGTGGCTCCCATCATCCAAGTGTATGGATAGATGGTCATGAACAAATCTACTAACTAAAATACTTAGATCTAGTCTAGGTTAGGCAAAAAATCTATTTTAAATAAATAATTTGATCTTCAATGTTTAGGATTAGGACCACATATAAGCATTTATGGAACATAAGAGAAGTGACAAATTTGTCAAGTGTGGAACAAACTTTACAATAATATTTCCATTTTAGGCAAAACTACCTAAAACTGCAATTGCATAAGCAAGCAAACCTCCTGCATTTGGGTTCTCCCCCAAACAAACCTACAAAGTTATTATTAACAGGATTAAAAAGTATGTATTACCACTAGGCTCTTGGGAATCAAGAACTGGGGTTTACTTCTTTATGAGTAGCCCAGGTGTCACACAACTTTTAACACTAATGTTATGATTATCATTTTTATTAATTTATTATCATTTAATGTTTCAATACTTCATTAGTAAACGGGCTTGAGTTGTGTGATTCGTTAAATGAATCCAGAAACTATTTCACATTTCATCCACATTTTCTCTTTTTAAATTTATATCTAAATTTATGATTCAAACATGAAGTTCCAAAAAATTGTTACTTTGATTACTAAGGCCTCGTTTGGGAACCCTTATTTTTAGTCAAAAAGTTACTAAATTAGCCAAAAAGCCAACAACCCATACCAAAAAGTCAAAGATTCTCTTTTCTCTCTACTTTTTACACATCTTTTGGTAAAAAGTCAAAAAGTCATCCCAAACATACTAGTTTTTTTTAGCTCATAATTCAGCCAAATAGCCAAAAAATTACTAAATTAGCATGTTCCCAAACGAGGCCTAATTTGTACATTCATAAGCAAATTTGAATGTTAAAGAGAGGCACTAGTGCAAGTGGGAAATGTTTGGAGACGAATTATAAATAGCCAGCACTCACTTGTGCAAAACACAAATTATAATAGACGTAATAGAAAGAAGCAACAAATCCAGGAAACTTCATAGCAATTCCCTTCTCCTCCCCCAACTCCCCGCCAAAGTTCTTGTACCAGTTCCTATCTCAATCAACAGGATTATACCTCCACTACAAACCCTAACAACCACTATGTCCTTAAATTGATGAAAAATCAGTAATAATAATAATAATGAAGATGTTGATATGTTTGTTGGCTAGAGATAGGAGCCATTTCTTCATGCCATCTCTATGAATCAAGTCTGACAACAAAGGTCGATAGGCCAAGAATCTTCTGTCTCCAAATCACTCTTAAGTTGCATTCGGATTTATGAAACTGAAATAAAAGGATTTAGCGTTATTCATGTTTTGGGAAAAAAAAGAAGCTCAAATTTAGATTTGATAGTTTAGATATAGATTTCAATATTGAATTTGAGAGTATTGTCATGTCATGATCAATGTAAAACTAGTCATTTGAATTCCTTCATTCATGCAAGGGATCTAGTTTTAAAATGGTCCTAATAAAATACTTCTCTTCTATGTCTAATTTATCTTCCCTGTTAGTTTCTCAATCTACCTATTATAGTTTGACATCTAATATTTTTATAAAATTCAACGTTAAATCTGTTCATTTGAAATCTTTCAATCTAAACAGAACCTGAATTTATTTGGGCAAGAGTCTTTATTTTTATTTATTTATTTTTATGCATATGCACCCGAGCATTCCACAGTGCTTACCAATTCAATAGCAGAGGTGACTCAGTTACTCAAATCTCCACTTTATTGAGTTTTGAACATATGATAAAACTAAAAGCCATGATATTTTACATGAACATTTGGCAAACAGGAAAAACAACACAGTTTTTAAAGTTGGATGCAGAATCACACATGACATGTTACAAAAACTTCTGAGATGATGGGAAGATTTATAATGTCATTGAAGCCTGAACATCTTTACTACAGAAGGAAATGACATGATGGTTATTCTTCATATTCATCTCACTTGCCTCCATTTTCATCCGGGACTCCAGTTACAGCTTGCTGCAATTTTTAGATAAGATGAATGTCAGTGCCAGTTTTAATGAGTAACATGAACCCTCCATATGTTTCAACTGAAAACATTAGTGGTGGGGTGTTGGAGGTGGTGGTGGGGTGTTGGAGGTAGCGGTGATGGTGATGGTGTTGGTGGTGGTCAGACTAGTATAGAAAAGGTTTTCCACTTTCAAAAGTGAATTTTTTTTTCCACTCAAATAAACTTGTTTTCCTTTAATCCTGAAAAAAAAGATTTGTTGACTTTCATTTTCCATCATACTAAATTCTAGAAAATGCAAAAAATATTTTTCAGAAAATGTTTTCTGTCAAAACAAACTGAGCATAAGATGAAAACCAGCTTGATAATTCATTACCTGAATGCACGACAAGGTGTATTGCACATCACTTTCTGAAATTTGGTAGTGAAGGACAAGTCTAATTCTGCAACCATATCATACTTGCATTAAAAAAAAATTGTCAAAAAAATTAAAAAAAAAAAAAAAAAAAAAATACTAACACTGACTTTTTGTATTTATACAGTGTTCATGTATAAATCCAAAAAAAATACTATCTATTATCCCATGTTTTACTAAGAAAAAAGAGGAAGTTGATGGATTTTAAACAACGTTTTTGGGGTAAAACACACCTGAATGAGCTCTCTGGCATCACAAGTATGCCATGTTCTTCCAAATTCTTGCAGAGTTTTAGGGCTGTAATATTTGTGCCCTCTAAAATATCAAAATATAACTGGTCATAAGAAAAGGAAAATGAATTTAGAATTTGTTTATATTCTAAGAACGGAGAGTTAAGATTCACATTTGAATAGAAAAAGAACAAACAACTCAAGTATATGTAGTAAACAAACTATGTGAGAACACAAATTCAATTGAAATGATCCAAAGTCAATCATTCAACTAGCTAAGAAACAAAACTAACACATGCCATTGGAGACTTTTATTCCTCTCTTATTGTTTGGGGGAATTTGGATTCACATCCATTGCTAATAATTGAGCCAAACATGTTGCAACAACCTATTACCCAGAAGCTGAATGGAATTGGGAGGTCTCGAATGGGATTTGATCCCTAAAACTTGAGCATTTTGTGCAGCTCGAGTATGAAAATTTCTGCTGCCACACTGTTGGTCTTTCCAACTTAGTTTAAACTAGAAAATATGAATTGAATTCTAATCTCGGTCCCAGAAAGATTAAATGGAGAGGGAAAAACATATATTAACCAAACAAACTACTTATTCTATTACCATATGTCAATTTCAGGTTACTTACTATGTTGGTCTCCACTGAATTGACATCCACTTTTAGTCCTTCAATTCTATTCAGTCCTTCTGTAAACCAAATTAATAAATATGTAAAAGAGAAACATAATAACACATGAATTAATGGGTCTGTCACTGTATTTATATGATAATGTATTAAACAGGAGAAAAAATTTACGTGCTAAAAACTTAGCATTGTTGTGATCACTCTCGAGCTTTCCAACATTCTCTTGCACTGCAACTAAAGCAGCAGCGCAAAGGACTCCAACTTGTCTCATCCCACCACCTAAGGTCTTCCTTAGAATCTTTGCCTACAAAGCCATCAAAAAAAAAAAAAAGAAGAAGAAGAAAAACGAGAGAGAGAGATAGGTATCAAGTTTCTACAATGAGAGAAAAACAGAATTCTTAATTGTTGCAAAAATATCAGTAATACCCTAGTAATAAAATCTTTTGAACCAACAATGACAGTTCCAGCTGGAGCGCCCAATCCTTTTGATAGACATACCTGGATTACATGATGTGAAATAATGTAATATAACAAAATAGAGAAGATAACTTGTTCAATTATGTAATTTAATTTTCTTCATGCCAGCTTCAAATAAAAAAAAAAGGTCCAACTAAGAACTAAGTTGTAAAAACACAACACCAAAATATATATATATATAACTTAGAATGTCAGTCACCATGTAACCCTACCGAAACTGAATCAGCAGCCTGCACAAGCCTATGAACGGGAATGCCAAGTGCCTGGAGAACAAATTTAATCAAGTTAAAAACTTGGGCATCCTTTCATAGATGTATTTATTAATAAATATAGTGAAGTACAGAACTCAAAATAATCATGGACGAATTATGAGTCTAACTCTCCCCTGAGTCTCAAAAAATTATGTAAGTTTTGACACCGGATGGAAATGAAATTGTTCAAATTTAACTCCAACCATAATTGTAAAACATAAGCAGACAACATGAAACACAGTCGTATCAAATCTTACCAAGGTGGTAGTAGATTTATCTATGGAATGAGAATCACCTCCAATGACATAAAAAACAGAAGGAAATAATTTAATTTCCCTATCTTGTTTAGAAATTTCCATCTTTAACGTGGCCACTTCAATTACAACCATTTCAACCTCCTATGCCATGCAAACTACAATAAAGACCTTCAATATTTGGATCCCTTTAGTTAAAAACACTGGAGTCAACGTACACGAATATTAGTCAACATACAAACTGCTAGATTATCGTGATTATAGTTCTTTAGCAAGTTAATTCTTGATACCAAACATTAAAGTACTGCACTTCAATCCAAATAAACTTGTTGCTTATGTACAACAACAAAAATGTTCAAACACCTCCAAATTAAAAAGGTCGCAGGTGTTGGTAACCATGAGAAAGTAAAAAAGTCAAGTTTCCACAATATTAACCTATTGTAGCACTCCCCCTTGCCATCATAAATGCATTCAGTAGTGCAAATTTTCTTCAATTCAACATCCTCAAAAAAAAAAAAAATGGTTTCTTAGTTTCCTCGAACAGTTCCAACATAAAGCACTAAAATCTAACTACATAAGCAATCATTCTTCTAAATATCTCTCTTTACTGACCAGTGAAGATCATAATTTGTAGCATACAACTGTATAATGACAACTAGAAGGTTGGAAATATTTTTACTCACAACTGATGCATTAAATATACGGGCACCATCGATGTGAAGTTTCAGCCCATGCTTCTTTGTTAGCTCCCCAACTTTGTCTATATACTCTACAGGAAGGCATTTACCACCACAGCTGCATTTAGTAAGATACCACCAGTAAGCATTGCATTAGATATGGGACACAGGTCAATCAAAAGGTCCCTTGCTTAACCTCCTCTTTTCTTTTTCTATCTACTTCATTTATCCAAGTGGAGGAGAGCAAGGCATTGATTTAGTAGATCATGTGCTTTCTTATTCAGTTGTGATATCAGTTCACGTCTTACTGATAATATTTGTATTAAAAAAAACAAAAAACTTATCCAAATGGAGCCTTAAGTGGCAAGCTTATTAGAAGTGAATATGATCAAACAATTCAAACCATGCTTCTAATTCTCCATCAAAATTTCAAATGCATTCATGAAGACACAAGTACTCACTTTGCATGCGTGGTTTCCAAGCAGATAAGCCTAGTAGTTGGGTAACAAATTTCCAATTTAGGGTCTCTAATGGCAGCTTCAATGAGATCAATATCCATTGTCCCATCTCTGTTATTCTTCACTGTCCTTGGATGTACACCTCCAATTGTGGAAATGCCTCCATTCTCATAGATATGGATATGAGAATTGTCTCCAAGAATGACTTCACTACCCCTAACCTCACAATGAACAAGCACACTGATTAGGTTACCCATAGTCCCCGAAGGGACAAAAAGGGCTGCTTCCTTGCCTGTGATTGTTGCCAACTCTGTTTCAAGGCAAAAGGCCGTTGGGTCACAACCTAGTACATCATCATCAACTACAGCATTTGCCATTGCTGCTCTCATTGCTTGACTTGGTTTGGTCACTGTGTCGGAGCGGAGATCCACCGTTCTGGTCATCATTTTTGCTGAATTTAAACTAGAAAATACACCAACAAATAAGAAAATTAATGAAGCCACCTAAGAACATAGAATTCAGTCACAAAACCATAGACAGTTTTCAAAAGTGGGACCACTAATGAATCCTGTAAAATGCCGAGTTCATTCATGTGCATATTATTAGAACTTTACAATTCACGGTTCGATTCGTATGATTGGATAGGAGTTTCAACTAAGAAGATTTGATTTGTGTTGTTGAATCTTAAATTAAGTAAATCGCACGATTAAGTTGCGATTCACTATGATTTGCTACGATTCATGCGATTCATTGCATAATGTATGATATAACATTGTTTTCGCATAATATAAAAATAGATCAATTAATTATATTGATATACATGCTTTTATATGTACATTCATATCGTTATAAATAATACTTGTGTATATTTTTATATATAATATACACATAAAAAATTATATAGTGTTAAATAAAGTAAATTTTACTATTTTCCACACAATTCACAAATCACTATTCACTATTTTAGCATTAGGATTCACCATTGGATTTGTAATTTGATAACAATGTTCATATATATATGTACACGTGTATTTTGCCTTCATTTTGTGTTTTTGTTTTTGATTTCTGTGTACAGAGTAGAACTATTATTAAAAATTGATCAAAGTGATTACAGATAAAGTAAATGACTAAAAAAATGAATTAAAACATCATATTGAATTAATCTTTAAGACCATCTCTAATCCTTCATCATCAGATCTTTCATCAAATTTAAATTTAATGAAAAATTGATGAAAATGGTACTCCAACCGTTTCATCAGTTTGGTATCAAATGAAAGAAGCAGTACTTTTTTTTTTCATTAAATGAATAAAGCATTTATTCTTCTATCAAATTTGTAGGTGACTGCTGGGTCAGACGTCCGCCCGAACATCCTCAGGTGACTGTTGGGTCAAACATCAGCCCGGACATCCTCCTGGACAATCAATTTTGAAATGAATTTGATGAAAATTTATGCTAGGCGGATGACCGGCCAGATTTGATGAAAAGGGCATAGTATCAAATCAAACTTCTACTCAAATTTAATGAAATATCTGATGATGAAGGATTGGAGATGCTCTAAGGTGACCATTGGTTTAATGGTAAAACTTGACCTAATAACTTGAGGTTATCAGTTAAAAAAAAAATAAAAAATAAAAAATTCAGGTTATGGATTCAAGTCAGGAGCAACCATTTTATCCACTATGCCAAAAGCTAATTGTATAGCCAATCTTTCTCCACTAATTGTGCGCTGTTTTTTTATTGAATTAATCTTTAAGGAAATTAAAAATCCAATGCTGAGCCTGAGAGAGATGCTCATACCTCTTGCAAGCTATTCTTCACTATCACTGCCTCCTTCACTGAAGTTTCGGACAACTGCGCACAAAACCCACAAAATTTTCAACAAAATCAAACAGGTTGCGTTGAAAAACAGTTAACAAGAAACGAAAATCAACCACACGCAGAACCCAAAAAAAGAAAATTCTTAGTATCTTTAGAAGAGAGAGAGAGAGAGAGAGAGAGAGAGAGTTGTAAACATCAACAAAACACAATCCATTACATGAAGAAAGTTTGGAATTCTAATCCGCAAATGCAACCCTGTTTATCTTCGTAATTCAATTTCAATCGATTTGTGGGTTGTACACTGAACCGACAGAAAAAACATCTCTCAACGAGCAGTCCAAGAGTCCAAAACCCACTGACGTAACATAACAAACGAATGATTGATTTTATAAATAAATAAATGAATAAGCTGCCAAAAACAAAGTTCAGGTTGCATGTACTCTGAAATACAAGATATTTTCCTTTTCTTTTTTTTTTCTTCTTTTTGAGTTGGTACAAATGCAAAATCCATGCACACAAAGAACAACTCCAAAAGCATAATGTTTCTTTTTTCATAAACATATCAAATGCATTGAAAAAACAAAATTAAAAATAAAACCACATCAATACATGAAAATAGATTAAATAACAATAAAAAAGAAAAGGAAACAAGGAAGGTAGAAGCCTGTAAAATTCAATAGAGAAAATGAAATATGACAGCTACCCTTTAAGAAAGGTGCTAAATATTGAAACAACTACAATTGTATTGAAAAATAATCACCAGAACAATGTCATTGATAAAACAGCTCACCTTGAGACAGTAATTTCATAGGGAAAGGAGACACCTTCAAGATTCGGTATGGGTGGAATGTGATCTTTTTTCCCATTCACAAATTTTATTATCTGAAATAAAACCTCATGAAGAGATGCTTCAAGTGCTGCCCTCCGATGACTTCTCTCATCCAGAGCACGCTCTGCCATCATTCATAGGGAAGCATACATCATTATGAAAAACATTAATAAAAAGAGAGCAACGCACTGCAATGAACGTACCTCCCGGGTCTACTACTAATTTGGAATGATGAGAAATGACAGTGAAATGAATCAAATAATCATGTCAGCGAAATGAATCAACTAAACATGTATTGTTCTATTACTTCAACTTTCTGTTACCATATAATTTGACAATCCATGTTAGAAGTATAAATTAGTTGATCATTTCAACTTTCAGTTACTTCAATAATGTCAATTGTTACACAGTGCCAAATGCCAGTGGGCAGTGGTCACTTTCTGTTTGATGCATTTCAAATTTGAGAATTTATTTAGTACAAGCCTTTCTATAATTTGACAGCAGATCTTTGAAGTACTAGAATGAAAACAAATAATCAGCAACAATGAGAGCTAAAAGAATTTCAGCTAACATGGATTGCTCCACCAAATAGCAAGAAATGACAGCGAAAGTTGAACTCCTAATCATGTATCATATGGAACATTTCAAAACTAATCACATTTTTCTCTAGACTCTACTATAGGAGATAGCTAATCCATAAGCATTTCATGGTGAATGATTGCAACTTTTAGCTTTAGAATCTTAGTCCAGGTGAGATGAATCAGTCCAATAGTTTTATCCATGGGAGAAAAAAATACAAACCTGATTTCAAAATCTTTGATCATATAATATACATAATTATGTAGAGTACTAGAAATATGAATCAAATATTTAGTGAAAGGTTTAAAACTTGAAGCAAGAGTGTTTTACATGTTTATTCATAGCCCACGAGGTTAATCAGTCTGTTGCAGACTAGTGAACTAAGGTCTGTTTTGGTGAGTATACAAACATATATATATTCATATATATATATATGTATATCATTTGTTTTTTTTCTTAGTGGGCTCGTTAATCAAGCTTCAATTCAATCATCATAAAGGCACTAAATAGTGATGCAGAGTGATATCAAATTGAATGAATTGAATTAGGTGTTTCAAGTTTTTGTTTGGGCATTTCATTTTTATTAGGGATTATTAAAATTTACACTTAAGTGAATGGCCATTTAATTGCACTTAAGTCAATTAAAAGCTTAAAATTAGTTTAAGGTCATCCTATTATGAATATATATATTTTTTTGGTATGTGAGAATTTCATTAAAAGAAACAAAGAATACAAAAATCAAGGGAGGCATACCTTTCAAATACCAAAATCAAGAAAAACACGAAGCAACTAGACTCATTTGGAGCAAAAATTCTCTCAAAAATCTACCAGTTTTTACACAATAGCAGATTAGAGTAAGATTGCTTAATAGATGCAAACTGAGAACATTGAACTCTAATATCAGAATTAATCTGATTCATCAAATATGTAGGCCTATGACATCCTTTGAAAGCCCATGATTTCTCTCTTGCCAGATTTAGTATACCGTTGCAGCCTAAGCAATTTTCCTCACTATATGGAAAAAAAAATTCCTACTAAATTGGTTAGCAATCCATGATATCTAATTATCCCTAGAATGTTGAGCCTTAGAAAAGCAGCAAATCTGCTCCCAAATTGCTCTAGAGAAGGAACAATTAAAGAAATATGAGAAAGAGACAAGTAGTGAATCTATCTCCCCCCAATCTTTGAGCCTGCCTCAGTCCTAAGCCTGCCTCTAATAGCCATCCAAAAACAAAGCCGTGTCTGGGAATGTACTTAGGGAACCAAATAATCTTATGCCAAATCACAGAAAGGGAATGAGGCTTGATAGCATCCCAAGTGTTGTAACTTTGTATTTAAGAGAGGGGGAAACAATGCACTGAACCTCATCATCTCTGGAACAATTGGGCTGAAAGGAAGGCATTAGAGAGGGAGGGAAAAGCCAGGTCCAACGATATCCTTAACAAAAGGTCTGGCAATGGATCTAAGATTAAGAACCTTTCTCCAAGTCCAGGAGCAGTCAGAAAGGACTGTAAAAGCCCAAAAGCATTTGCCTCTAATAAGATATCTATAGCACCATTGAATTTATGGGTGCAAGAAAAACCAATGAAACTAGACTGACTGCTCAAGATCAATTGAACTTTTGGTTTGTGATCTATTTTTCATAACGTGCGATCTGTTGTGGTTTTAAAATTTTATACACTCATACAAACTGAAACGACTGAAATATTATATTTAAAAATTTTGAGCATTAGAAGATAATTGACTAACAATACACAATTTCTAATAAAAATTAGGGAGGAAGACATTTATAGAGCAACTTTCACTATTGTACTTCATTTATTCTCAATGTGTGATTATACAAGTTTTTATAAAACCCTTTTAAAATCTCATGTTCCCTTCTCTACACCAAACCAAGAAAACTGAACCGTAGAATGTGGTCTGCTTTGGTTCCTCAACCAACAAAACCGAAAGGTTCGGTTTGGTACTAAACTTTCCCTTCAACCAAACCGCTTACACCCCTAATTGAATTCACAGTTGAATGATGTTTAGAGTAAATGACCCAAATATGCCTGAGGAAATAAGCATGGTTCCAATCTAGAAGCTTTCTTATGCCAAGACCTCCTTCTATTTTGGGCAAGCAAAGAGTCCCTCAAGCGAATTTATTAGAATGAAGGTAAGAGTTGGTCCCTGTCCACAAAAATCCTGAGCAATTGCTCTATATGCAAGCATACTGACTTGAGAAAAGTGCATAGACCAAAAAACTTGCTGAAGAGAATAGACTGGATAATGTGAAGTCTACCAGTGTAGGAAAGAAACTAATTTTATCAATGAGGCCTTTACAATTATCAGCTGAGAGCTAACTAGAAATAAGGGGCACTCCTAAGTATTTGACCGGAAGGGAACCAAGTTGAACCCAAATCAAAATTGCAAAGATCTATCTTAGATTGATCATCAATACCAATAATGTAAATCTTGCTTTTGCTCTTTTTTGGCGGAAGGCCAGAAAATTTATTGAATTTAAGAAAAGCATTAAAAACTATTTAAAAGGATTGATCATTCGGATAACAAAAAACAAAGAAATCATCTGCAAAGCAAATGTGCCTAATGTTCAATTCATGAATCATGACACTTTGGATGAGAGGAAAACAAGCCAGAACTGATATGGTTATGAAAGATTATGTAAAAAACTCCATAACAAGGATAAATTCAATATATTATGAATTTATTTACAAAGAAGTTAAAAGTTTTTATTTTGGTTAGTCATTTTTAAGCTTTGTGGAAATGTTCCACAAATAAAAACGTTGTGCAGAGTTGAAGTAGCTGAGGCTAAGACGACAACACATTTTAACATCTCCATTGGAACACCCATATAAACTACTTCATGAACAAACTCTTAACATACAAAATTGGACTCCACTTTTTGTCATATAATACACTTTAACAAACATTTTTAACATTTCCACTAGCCTTCTTAGTTAATATGGAAGAATGCATTATCAGAATAATGCATTGTGATAAAAAAATAATAATAATAAACATGGAGCTGAAACAGAAATATTTGTGATAAAAAATATCAGAGAAAAAAAATTCAGATGTGAATTTTAAAAGAGTCTGGCACATAGGACCAAAATCAATCCTCTATAGAGAACACTAAAGCAAAACAGAGGAGTCATAAAATCAACATCTCCATCAATCAATTATAACTCGAATCTTCTGAATATTTCATAGGTATATACATATAAAACTCAAATTTCAGATTCTACATGAACACGGATCTCAGAATAGCACAATTCGATTAACACAAAAAACAATTGAACAATACTAATTTCACATTAAAAAAAAAATTAGAAATTGACAAACTCAAATCCATCTAAAACAATTCCACAACCATGAGCAATTAGATTCAATTTTCAAAATCCAATTCACAAAAACCTCAATCAAATTCACCGAAACACATTTATATCAACATCAACCCAATCTTTGCCGACTAACATTTAAACTTCACACTACACAATCTGAGTCATACTTCACAGATACATGTAAATATGTATGTATAGGCGCAGAGAGAGAGATTGAGAGATAGAAATTGGGAGAGAGGAAGAGAGAGAGATTCATACCGCCGGATATCTCAGACGACAATGGTGAGTGAAAGAGCGAGCGAGAGAGAGAGAGAGAGAGAGAACGATCAGTGTTTGAATTTTTCTAGAACTAGGGCAAATATAAGGAAAACGGGTAAAAGGGTAAAAAAAATAAAAAAATAAAAAAATAAAAAGGAATGAATTGGTTATTTGCGACGGGTAATCAAATGGTCGCAATTATATAGTAGCAAAAGGTCACTTTTCTAGTAGGCCTCCATAACGAACGAATGATTGATTTTATAAATAAATAAATGAGTAAGCTTCTTGTTTTTTTCTTGCTTGTCACTTATTGGGAAATTTCAACACCTGCCGTGCACGTACTTAATCAAATTTTATTTTAATAACAATTACATCTTATTAAAGTAAAATGACTACAATAAACATAAAAATACACATTTAAAATTATACTCCAATCTTCTCTATACACATCTTTTTTTTAAAAAAAAAAAAAAAAAAAAAACCTCAATGCACATCTTTAATAAAAAGACCCCCTAATTTAAAATGTAAAAGATGATTTGTCTTCTTGTTGTATCAAGAATCAGAAATTATACAGCAGTTCAAACTCAGATTGTTGTTTTCTGTCTAGCACATCAAAAATCTCTTTCTTCTTCTTCACCTACTCTGTGTAGTGGTTACAACTACTTTTATTTTTTTTCTTTTCACCTTTTGTTTTGGTAAAGCCAAGTTATCTTACTTAAACACTCTGATCTTATCAAGCATTGCAGCGATGATTGACACCAAAAACATAGTATTTATACTGCTTACGAATACCACGCAACAATCATTCAGATGATCTAGAATTCTTCTAGTATAAGAGTGATTTTAAACTACATAGATTTCAATTTAGGAATTTAGTAACATTAAAGCAACATAGAATTGAGGGAATTAAGACGAAAAGAATAAGGGGGCTTTCATAGGAATGGAGGGATTTCATTGTTTCTTCGTTGTTTTTTCAATGGATCATTTTCATACATCAGGTGTGTGAAATAAGGCTTTTAACCGAATGGGTAAAGGTGTGTAGAAAGAGGGTTTAGGTGGTGTACGTACGTGGATATGAATTAGGGTATAATTGGAACATAAAATGTGTGAAATGAAAAGAATAATCATAACCAAATTAATAAATGTGTGCACTGAGAAATTATGTGTCCTGAGGTAGATAAGTGTGTGAAAATAGAATTTTCCTCACTTCTTGCCCTTTTGATTCTGCTCTTACTTTGCTCTTTTGGTAGGGCCTCAAAAATAAAATATGTAGCGTAAATTCAAAATTTAGACCTCGTTTGACAAGTAACTGTTTTAGTTTAAAAATTAAAAAATTACTAAAAAAATTAAAAAGTCAACAACTTATACCAAAAAGTCAAAGATTTCCTTTCCTTTTTATTTTTTGCACAGCTTTTCATAAAAAGCTAAAAAGTCATTCCAAACAACTAAATTTTTTTTACCTCATATTTTAGCTAAAAAGTAAAAAAATTACTAAAATAACATGCTCTCAAACAAGGCCAATGTAAATCACATACAAAATAATACCAAGTCTAATTTACAAATTTTATTTTTTAATGACTTTTAAAATAATTTATCCAAAAGTAAAGTTATTTGATTAATGGAGGTCGAATACAACTAATTTGTTTAAATGATATGTTTGGTTAAATACTACTCAATAAATTAAGTTTGGTTAAATACTACTCAATAAATCAAGTTTGTATCGCTTCTAATTCGAAATTCAAACCCAAAAATAGAAACTCCTAAACTATTATTTATGATGAAAATAAATTCAATTTTCTTATTGTGAGAATCTACCTAAAAGATGACTTGATAGTCAATTACTTAAATAAATTTGAATAATATAAACAATGATTATCCATATATCACAAAAAATAATCCAATTCAGTAAGAAAACCTTTGACTTACCCTCGGTGGGCTAATATAGAGGTTCTACGCCCCCAGTATAGCTGCCATTATGTACAACCATATAAAGTCAATAATACCACCATAAAAGCATATATATTACAGTTCCTGAATGTGATGACATTTATACCAAACACATATCAAGATGAATAATGCTTTGTTAGACCAAATCGCAGAACAAGACCGGACTCATCTTGTCTCGGTTATCATTGATCCTCTGTTAGGACCCCGCAAACCTAAGGCCAATAATAACCAATAATGTGGTTGGCATTGGGATAAAATCTCAGGCGTGCAAGCCATTTTCCTATCAAGATTTGTCTCTTTTTCCAGAGATTCCACAAACCGGATGAATACATCTCCTTGTTCTCGCATTAAATAATCAGCAATAAAAGGAGACAACAGAATGCAAACAGTAATTCCAACAGCATCAGAGAGCAGCCCCAAGCAGCACAATCAAGAACAAGCAAGGGCACTAGGAGGGTCTTTCATCAGCATCCAAAGTTTATTCGAACTTTTTTGACAGAAAGTTTTTTATGCATCTTGCATATTTACACCGTCCACCTCCATAGAAACTTGTCTGTTCTCATCAGCATTACCATCTTCAGCTGTTTCTGGGACAATGTCTTCTGGCCTGGTCAGGATACTATCCTCGATTCCATCTTCCCCAGTATTCTGCTGATCCTTAGCTGATAAATCCCCCCCAGCAACTTCTGGGCTCGTTAAATTCTCACCAATAGTACCATTGACAGTGTCACCACACATACTAATCTTGTCTCCATCAGTAAGGTCAGAGTTAATATTCAATTTGACAGCAGAATTTTGATCTGGAATGTCACTAGAGTGATTTTCATCCACACTCTTGAGCTGAGTAGCATCATCAGCAGAAACAGAGGGCATGATGTCAGATGAGCTCACATCCACGACTGGAGTTGCATTCTCGACCACTCCATCAGCATCCATGTCCTGTTTTGGACTTGCATTAGCTTGTACTGGAGCAGCATCAATCTCTTGGCTTGGAATTTCATCAGCTGGAGGCTCAGCAGTTTCATTTGCTGCAGCATTGGCCAACTCAAGAGCACGATTTTTTGCTGCAATTTCTTCTTGTACTCTAAAAGCATCCATGAGGCTTTGGATCCTTTCTTTCTCTGCTACAAGATCCCCATAGCGTTTCTGCAAAGTTCGCTCAAGCTCCTTCTGCTTCTGAACTTCTTCCCAGAGGACATTGATCCTATGTGATGCTGCCAGCTGCTCTTGCTTTTGTAAAGCTTGAAAGCACTCGAGTTCTGTTCCTGCAGTGTCCATCTGCTTAAAAGTTGCTTCAATTTGTGACCAAAGTTTCCCAGCTCGCATCTGATCATTGACAATGTCCATCTATCAGAACCATTACAACTTGAATCTAAAACAAACAGCAACTAATCCATGACTTGCAGTTATATAAAAATTCATATGCCATTAAATAAAGTAAATTTTGAGTATTCTTGCATTAAAATGCAAGAATTGTGAATTTGTTTGTGTATGCATGAACACATGTATGTTCTTCCATGCATTTCTTGCATCCATGACTTGCGGTTCATATAAACAGGTTCATTGCATCAAATCATACTCAAGATCTATTCACTTAACTAGTGGCAGTTGCAACAAGCAATAGTGCATTAATAAGTCAATTGTGCTAACTGTGCAAACATAAAAACCTTAACATGTATCTTTTTGTTGATCAAAGAAAATTCATACTAAAAATACTTAAAAATATTTAAGGCAATTGGAAAGGAACTCTATCTTATTCATCTTTGAAAAAAGTCCTGGATAAAAAAGCAAGCAAAAGGAACAACTTAATGTGCTGCTTAGCTGGGGATGTAAAAACAACAAATACCAATTAAATACAAAAGGAAGGAAATTATTAAGTAAACTTGTACTACAATCTCAATGTTGTAAATTTGCTATTATGTTTTAAGTTATAAAAGAAAAAGAACTAATATTAATGATAAATTGACAGTCAACCAAGAAACTCTGCATACCTGATAACCATTAGTAAGAAGTTTTATCTTCTGCTCAAGGCGTTGTGCCTTCTTAGTATCATCATCCATCCTTTTCTTTACAATCTCAAATTCATTCTGCAAGGCAGCAAGTTTCTCCATGTTTCCGGCAACACTGGATAGACCATAACCATTACGAGTAGGAAAATACACGATATCGTTTAAACATGTTTTATGTGCTTCAACAAACGCATCAACTGACTCATTCTCATGCCCCATTGCCAAGCGAAGAAACTGAACCTCTTCCTTAATGAAATAACCAGCCTGCAAAAACACAAGAGGTAAGGAGAGGAGGTTATTTCTCGACTTGTAACAACACATTTAGGCACCCTTATTTTTTTTTGGGTTTATAGATTATGATAGTGTATCACTGTAGTAACAAAAGGCAGTAGTATGCCACAAAATGACGTATTTGATGTTCAAGATCAAACAAGTATGAGCTCTGAATCTTCTAACTTTCAGGAAACAAAAGTAATGCATAAATCGGGAAAAGACACAATGGTCATGTTTGTTTCAAGAATTGGAACTACAATGATGAGGGAAAGTCTAATAGAAAAATAGATAAATATTTGCACGAGAACATCATATTGCTATAAAAGGCCATAATCCATAACTTTTGGGCAAATATAACGAGCACACATCCATTATTCCTACAGCGTTTGCTCGTTTAATAATCAGCTTACTTCTTCCTGCATGGTAAATGAGATATGAAGATGACTCGAGAACATGTCAGATACAAAGGCGTACTTCAAGACTCAACTACTGGATTTTATGTATAGTACTAGAAATAAATGTAATACTAAAGATAAATCTCCAGAGTAAAAGCAATTGAACAAAATGGCATATCATGAAACTCAAAAACCAAATATGGCATATGGCAACAACCAAAATTCCCATGTGAATTTGTGAACGTACACAAAGCGTTTTACTAAAATAATTATTCTAATTCCATGCTAATTATTGCAATTGACTGAGTAAATTTCTTAGCAATTGGCAAGAAAGCAAAGGGATGAAGACCTTGTTCAAGCTCCTTAGGGATGAAATTGCAATGACTCAGTAAATGTCTATGAAATTTCTTTGACCTTGTTCTCTTATGTAGATATAAAGGTTAATTTAGACACACACACACACACACACACAAACAAAAAAAAAGAAAAAACCACTTTTAACTTCCCTCCCATTTAAATAATCTAATATTGTTTTCTTGTATCTTTCTGAAAACTTTCTACTTAACCATATGTATGTTGAACTTTTACTTTTGCTTTTATTTTCCTTTCATTTGCTCTACTTTCTTGTATTTCCATTTTCTACTAACTTTTTTCATTCTAAAAAACAGAGCCTTATGGAAAGTTCATAATTAGGATAATGAAATTATGGCACCATGAGAGGAGCATGACTACTTATCTATAATTTGAAGAACTTGCATAAAGTTAAAACAATTAACTTATCCTGACGTTTTATGATTGCATCAACATATGACCAGCTCTGATCAGCAAGCAATTTTTTTTTTATATGAAGCAAATATGAACAGATATGGTAAGGTGGTTGAAGATTAAACTACCATAAGAAAACAAAGAGAAAAAGATTTCATGACACACAAGAATAACTAACAGTATTAATAGATAGATATGTAGCAAAAGCATACCTCCTTCAGTTCATTTTCTTCAAAGTCTTCAATCACGGGGACAGAAACAGATTTTCTGTTTGCAGCCCGCTTGGCTCCTTTCTTGTTATCCTTGTCCGCTTTTTCGTCAAGTGGATACTTTGCATTATCATGATCTAATAAGGATAGAAGTTCTTTTCTTATCATTTCATCAGCCTGCTCAATCAAAGTTGGGGGAACAAAGGAGCTCTTGTCTTCATCAGCTCTTGTCAATGAATTTTTAATTAGTTCCAATGAAGCAGCAGGAGGTCTAGGGAGCTCCCTCTGCAGCACTTTCGATCTCTTCTTAAGTAACAATTGTTGCCTCGCTTCTTTCTCAGCCTTCTCTCTAGCCATCCTGTCAGACATATCTTCTTCAATATGCTCCTCTGGTTCTTCATTATCTTCAGGGACTGGTTGGATAACTATCTGGTACTCATTCTTGGGCTGTGGAAGGTTGCTCAAACCAGAACGCAAGTTCCTTCTCAAATCAGCTTGTCTACGGAGCTCAAGTTTTGCACTTTCATGCATATCCACGTCCTCATTAATATGAAGCTCATCCCTAATTGGAGTTCCTTTTGGAGTAAGACCAAATGAATCCCTTGACGGAGTCATGCCAAGTCTTGGTGTCATACCACCACCTCCGGGAGTCGCTGAAGGAGTTAACATTGGGTTTGGCGTTTGGATCTCCCTTTTCTTAGGAGTGACCCCAGAAAAATCTGAAGGATGCAGTTCTGGATTTTCTCCTCCAAGTAACGGTGTCTGAGACTCTCTCAACCTGGCCAGATTTTCAGCTTCCATCATAATAGCATCACCCTTACCTGCAGGTGTTCGCTGAGGGGCCCGTAGTGGGGTCATTCCTTGTCGTGGTGTCTGAGCATAATTTGCAAGTAGAGCACGAGTTGCACCATTCCCTTCAATGAGTTCCTCACTCCCTGCAAGGAGATCACTAGCATAACCCATCTTCGCAATCTCCTCCAATTCATTATCTGAAATCTGCGGTGCAGGAAGCATCAGTTTTGACCTCTTCCGGACTGCTTCTGGATCATTTAGTTTGTTTGCTTGCAGTATTGCAGATGGGGCATCCTGCCTCTGCGCAATTTTATTCCTTGCAATATCCTGCTTCCTTAATCTTGCTTCCCTATCAGTTCTTTTTTCACCCTCAAGTTCTTCAATGGTGGTAGGGAACTTGAGCTGTTCCACTGGTTGATCTTCATCAGCGACATCAAAAAAGCCTGGAGGAGGCTTCTTCTCAAAGGGAATTTCAGCATTATAGTCAATACCCTTCCTTTTCCTCTTCCTTTGCCTAGTTTGAATTCCAGCTGCCTTTAGTTCTCTCCTTTTCTGCAAAGAAGCTAGCCTCCTGGCCTCTTCAAGCTGCTTTTCCCGGGCTTTCCTTTTTGCCTTCTTGCCCCTAGTGTTGGCTAACCGAGCTCGTGCTTCTGAAAGCATTTCCTTCTCATCCTCATCCATATCAACAGGGTCTGGACGCGCAGGCTTCGACTCTGGGTTTGGATCAATCTCTCCAGGGCGCAATTTCCGTGGATCATCACCTGCTTCATAGTTCTCATCCTTTGCACAGGCTGCATCAAGGAGCTTCTCATAGCGTTCAAGGCATTGAGATGGAGTACGACCCACAATTGGGGCAATTGTTCTCCATTGTGTGGGCATGAGCTTAGCAAGGTGAAGCAGTTTCTCATCTTCCTCTCTGGTCCACTCAGTCTACACATAATATAAAACAAATTTTAGTTTTCTCACTTACAAAAAATTGCTTGCACTGTAATTTAGAACAGAACTCAGAAGACAAATAAAAAGTCAGAAAATGTTGACTGATGTCCTTCACAATAGCTGCACAAAATGGGAGAAAGGCAAAAGAAATAATTCAGCAAGCTAATATCTATATGAAAATCAACCTTCTTTCTCAAGAAACTGTTACCCAATTAGATCTGCTGCAACAGAGAGTACAGTAGTTAATTTTTGTCATGCACCTAGCAGTTAGTTAGAGCAGTACGTTAGCTAGTTTAGATCTTTCTAGAGCTCTTACATTGTATGTATATATATACAGATGATGTAGCAATGTAATGCAGCAATGGAATGGACAATAAATATTTCGCTGATTTTCTTTCTTTTTACTTTCAGTTTCATTTTCACTTTCAGAAGAAAGTTTACAAATAGCTTATCACAACTTAGAATATTTATTAGTCGAGAATCATGGAAACAAACCAAAGGCTTATGAAAGTGATTGGGCTCATTTATTTGCATATCAGAAAAAGATTAAAAAAATAAATAAATTTGGTATAGGACTGTAAGAATTATGAAGAATTTCTGTATATTCAATTGTATTTACTGAACAAAGAATACATCACTTATATAGAACACTAAATCCTAATCCTAAACGAATACATCACTAATATAGAATTCTAATAGATATAGAACACTAATCCTAAATAGGAAACAAGAATAAACCTAAACCAATCTTAAATAGGAAACAACAACAATAAACTTAAACAAATCCTAAATAGGAAACAATATTCACATAATATATAATATTATTCTCAGACCCCCGCTCAAACTCAAGGTGTTTGAGCAGAAAACACTGAGAGTTTACCAAGAAGAAACTGAAACCGAGCAGTGGTGTGAGTCTTGGTAAAGAAGTCAACAAGCTGCGGAGCTGAAGAGACGAAAGGAAGCGAGATAGAGTCAGATTGCAGATGCTGACGAACAAAGTGACAATCAATCTCAATGTGCTTGGTCCGTTCATGAAAGACGGTGTTATGTGCAATCACAATAGAGGGAGGTCGAGGAAGACTGAGGGACGCCCAAGTCAGAAAGAAGACAATGAAGCCAGACAACTTCAGCAGTAGCATGAGCCATAGCACGGTACTCAATTTTGACAGTAGAGCGAGCAACAACAGTTTGTTTCTTGCTTTTCCAAGAGATCAAGGAATCGCCAAGAAACATACAGAAACCAGATGTGAACTTGCGATCAGTAACATTACCAGCCCAATCAGAATCAGCATAAGCTACCAAATCCAGAGAGAAAGTAGAGGACAATAGTAAACCCTGAAAGATAGTACCTTGGAGATAGCGAAGACTTCGAACCAAGGCAGCCCAATGTGTGGAGCGAGAAGCAGAGACAAACTGGCTAACCATATGAGCAACATAGGCAACATCAGGACGAGTAACCGTCAAATAGACTAAGCAACCCACGAGCTCTCGATATAAAGTAGGACCATCCAAAAAAACACCATCAGTAGTGTTGAACTTTACATTAAGTTCAATAGGGATATCAGAAATCTTAGTGTCAATAAGACCGGCACGATGAATAACCTTATTGGCATGGCATACTTGGCCTGAGAGCTCTTGGGAGAAGAAGCTACCTCAATACCTAGAAAATACCGCAATGGGCCCAGATCCTTCATTTCAAAGGTGCGGAAAAGATGCTGCTTGACCTCAAATATAGCAGAAGAGTCAAAACCAATGATGATCATATCATCCACATACAGTAATAACGCAACAAATCCAACAGAGGTATGGAGAAGAAATAAAGCAGAGTCCTGAGCACAAGGATGAAACCCAAGCTTAGTAACAGTAGTCTGAAAGCGATCATACCAAGTACAAGGAGACTGCTTCAGACCATACAGAGCACGCTGAAGGCAACAAACCTGTCCAGAGGAATGGTGAAGGCCAAGAGAAGGACGCATGTAAACCTCCTCAGTGAGATGGCCATTAAGAAAAACATTCTTAACATCCATCTGATAAAGAGGCCAAGAACGACCAGCAGCAACAAAGATCAAAATACAGACAATAGTCATCTTGGCAACAGGAGCAAAGGTCTCCTCATAATCGATACCATACTCCTGTGAAAAACCTTTGGCAACCAGACGAGCTTTGTAATGCTTAAGAGAACCATCAGAATGAGTATTGATTTTATAAACCCATTTGCAATCAACCAGATTCTTACCAGTAGGCAAAGAAACCAACTCCCAAGTACTAGTTTTCTGTAAAGTAGACAACTCATCCTCCATATCTTGAACCCAATGAGGATCTTGACAAGCCTCCTTGTAAAACTGAGGTTCTAAAAAAAAGTAAATAGCAGACAAAAAAGTACGATAGGAAGGAGAAAAACATGTATTAGACCAACCTAATCTGTTCGGAAGATGACGTGCTCGAGTAGGATATCGGTGTGCAACAGGATCAGAGTCGTCAGAAACAGGAGGATCAACAGCAGGGGCAGAGACAACCAGTGGAGGAGGAGCCTTGCGACGAGAATAAACTAACAACGGAAGTGGAGGAGAATAAACCGAAGGAAGAGTAGTAGCCAGAGGTGAAGCAGGACGAGAAGATGGAACAAGCTCAGGCGGAACTGTGGAGATGTACTCATCAGACGGGACCTCAGAAGGAAACGGATCAATATGAACCAAATCCTCTTTGGAAACTAGGGCGGTGAGAGGAAGAAGCTGAAAGTAAGGTAGACGTTCGAGAAAAGAAACATGACGGAAGACATAAAGACGACGGGAAATAGGGTCGTAACATCGATAGCCTTTTTGAGTAAGACTATAACCCAAAAAGACACAGAGGACAGACCGGACACTAAGTTTGGAATTATCTTTGCGGGAAGAAGGACAAAACAGACAAACCCAAACACACGAAGAAGGGAGTAGTTAGGAATTTGGGAAAACAAAGCTTTATAAGGAGATCGACCAGAAAGACGGAGAGTAGGCGTGCGGTTGAGAAAAGAAGCAGCAGTAAGAACTGCCTCTCCCTAGAATAAAGCCAGAACTGAGGCAGAGAAAAGAAAAGACCTAGCTGTCTCAAGGAGATGACAGTGTTTACGCTCGGTTTGACCATTTTGGGCAAGTGTATCTGTATAAAAAGTTTGGTAAATGGTACCCAAATTAGCCAAATACTCACAAAACTCATTTTTAAAATATTCTCTACCCAAGTTAGACCGTAACACTTTAATTGTAGACCCAAACTGAGTAGTAATCATAGACTGAAAGGTACGGTATATCTGATAGAAATCAAACTTATAAATCATAAGATAAACCCAAGTGTAACGGGTGCAGCCATCAACAAATTATATGTAGAACCCTCTTCAGAATTCTAACAATGATCATATACAATTCAATACAATACATATTATTTTTTATCTCTCTACTATTCTAACATGGTATCAAAACTATAGGCTAAAGTCCTCGGTGTTCTTCGCTTTATCGGCGGGCGACAACCTTGCCTTGGCCGCCCGTCGGATCTCAACCTATTTCCCTGTTATATTTTTATGTCAATATTACTTCGTGGTGATCTCTTTCTTTGTTTGCTGGTTTATTCTTGCCATAAATTGTGAGAATAATATTATATATTATGTGAATATTGTTTCCTATTTAGGATTGATTAAGGTTTATTCTTGTTGTTTCTTACTCAAGATTGGTTTAGGTTTATTCTTGTTTCCTATTTAGGATTAGTGTTCTATATCTATTAGAATTCTATATCAATGATGTATTCGTTTAGGATTAGGATTTAGAGTTCTATATAAGTGATGTATTCTTTATTCAGTAAATACAATTGAATATACAGAAATTCTTCAGAATTCTTACATGATATCAGAGTTGTATTCGAAACCCTAACCTCTTATTTCTAGTTCGTCGTTTCCCTCTCTAGTTCATGATCGATCGAAGCTCCTTGCTTCGTGGGTCGTATGGGTCTCTCTCGCCGAAAGACTTCCCTCTGACGTGGTTCGCCTCTTCTTTCTGGTCAACCCATCTATTCGACATGGTAGTTGTGCTTCGATTCCTCATCTGTTCGTGACTTCTTCTCTCTCACTCGCGACTGTCTCTAATTGTGGTTTTTTCTGGTTCGCTGATTCGTCCTCTCTGGTTCGCGACTCGTGTCACTCTTTGCTCGTCGCATCTGCTAGTTGCCTCGATGCTTCTTGTTCTCTGCTTGCGACTCACAAGTGATTGATCTCTTGTTGGAGTTACGACATCAGTTCTTCGACTTCGACTTCGTCTTCGTCAGTTGCTGGAATTTTGATATCAGTCACACCTGTCAGAGTCACGACCTACATCGTGACATCTCTCTCTCTCTTGTTCTAAGTCTGGAGGACCTGGGTGTTTTTCTTTGGCTGACCACTGTTCTCTTTTATTCTTGTTTGGACCAAACAAGTTTCTTGATATTACATAGTTGCCCCATCAACTTTCACTTTATTACGATTTTCTATTTTTTTTTTTTAGTTCATTATGATGATGACGGGTTCAGCTTCCGTAAAGCCCAAGAATGGGCTTCTTGCTTCAGATGAGTGTACTTTCTGCTATCAGAGGGGCCGTTGGAAGTATCACTATCCCAAGAAAGGATTAGGATGTCTATCTGGCTCGTATTCTCAGTAGTCTCAGACCCAGTTTTGCCCTTCTTCTCTAAGTATTTTTCAGGCTTTCGCCGGTTCTACTGCATTTGCTCTAGCTTCTGATCCTGACTTGGCTTCCTTGAGTGCTCAGATTAGTCAATTTCAGCATACACTGTCTACCTCCCAACCATCTTCGTCTGCCTCCATTGTTTCCTCTCTTCATTCAGATTTGCTTAGGTCTTTTTCAGGTATCTCTTCGTCTGTCTGGCTTTTTGACTCTGGTGCCTCTCATCACATGACTCCTCATCTCTCCTTACTTTAGAATTGTACTCCCCCTTCCTTTCCTATTACTGTCAATGCTGCTAATGGGTCTGGTATGTTATTTATATCTATTGGGTCTATCTTACCGTCTGCTATGTCTGCAGTCTCTATTCCATCTGTCTTATATTTCCTCAATTATCTGTCAATTTATTATCTATTAGTTAACTTGATACTTCTAGTTTTTATGTTATCTTTTCTTCTTCTATCTGATTTGTGTAGGATCAAATGTCCAAGCAGCAGATTGAGACTGGCCGTAGAGTTGGAGACCTCTATGTGGTGGAGAGCTTGCATCTGCCTATGACTACCTCTCCAACTGCCTTTTCTTCTTTTCAGTTAGATTCTCTGTCAAGTCCTTTCTATTTGTGGCATTCCAGATTAGGGCATTTCTCTGCTAACCGCTTACGGTCTTTAGCTCAATCAAGTATATTGGGTAAAGTTTCTCCTAGTCAACTTACCGAGTGTCGGGGGTGTACACTTGCCAAAATGACAGCCTTACCTTTCCGTAAAAATACTTCTATATCTGCTACACCGTTTTCTTTAGTTCATGCTGATATCTGGGGCCCTTCTCCTATTCTTACAAGGACAACTATTATGCTTGCTTTAAAAGAGTTTCTCATTTATTTGCACACCATAACCCAAAAAATAACAAAATAAAAAAAGATTAGGCTAATGTGTTGGTGTCCGACACGTGCCGGACACTAATACATAGCCATCGGAGAGGTGTCTGTGCTTCATGATCGAGGAATAATCGTCAACTAACAAACCAATACAAATGTCCAACAATAATAACGAGGGTGATTTCAACTTCCAAGCATTCCAAGAAACTTTTCCGAAAAAATCCCATTTTTTTGAAAACAATTTGGAGTCGTTTTAAAAATTAATTTCTCACAAAAATGGAAGCTATGGGTGTGATTTTTTTATTTTTTAATTGACACCGAGGTGTTCGAATCAAAGCCTGACTAATCCAATCCCTAGAGGTGCATAGGCTCTCAACAAGAAGTTTCCCGTAAGTACACCACTATTAATTCAAGGATTTTTCCCCAGTCCGATAACCCCAAGGAATTGTTAGCACCTAAGAGGTTTAGATCCTAAACATTGGAGGGAGCACACCCCAAAGACCAAAGCCTTGCCACCAGCCATGGGTGTTTTCAATCTCTTTTCGTTGTTTGTCTTAAAAAATGAAAAGGGAAAAATGAAAACGTTGAAAATGTAAACTACACCAAAAAGACATTTTGTTCTATCAAACATAAGATTCTTCTTTCATTTTACACTATCTTAGCAACCAAACAGAGCATTACTCCAGTCTCATAGGCAAAAAACCTCCCATTTCCCATAAATACCAAACCAACAAAGAAAACAAATAACAAGTCATACTAGAAAAGGTCCAAGAACAGTGATACGTTTTCGAGCATGAAAGCAAGGTACAAATATGATTTTCCATCAACCAGACGGAGCGTTATCTCCGCGGCCAGAGCTCGTTGAACCCATTGAACTTTGATTTCTTTTCTTCTTTTTTTTAAGGATTGAATAGTATATTATGTAAAAAATTTAGAAGGTTTTAATAACTTGACATCATTGAAATTGTTAAAAAAATAAATAAATTAATTAAAACCTTGTTGAGAGTCACCCTTATTGAAGTACAGGATTCTTATGTGTTTACATGTTTTTTTTTAAAATTTTTTAACCCTAATGTGAGGACTAATTTTGTCTATTTTCTCACTCTCTGTGCTCAATGGCCTAAAAATGGGAAAAAACTTCAATGCAACGGTGATACCACGTCACCTGTATCACCATCCAATAATTTCACCTTGACCCTCCAATCTATATGTGGCACCCAGAAAGTGGGGGTTGAACCTCCACATGTGGGGTTTATTGTGTGTTACTGATACCGCATCATCGATATCACTGTTATACTGAATTTGTACTTTTAATCCTAAAAATGGCAGATGCTCATTCTTGTCTATGTCATTGCTCTCTTTGCTCAATTGCCTAAAAATCACAGTCTCACTCTTTTCAGTTTTGTTGTAGCAATAGGATATTAATATTTCTAAATCTTGTTGTACATGTAATTTGGAAGTTTGAATTGGTTTTGCAATAGCATTGCGAATGCATATTACAGTATATTATGTAAAAGTTTATCACTTTTATAGAACTATAAAACATGAAATAATAACATTGAAAGAATATATATATATATATATATTACAGTATATTATGTGAAAGTTTATCACATTTATAGAACTATAGAACATGAAATAACAACATTGAAACCTTCAATTTGCTAGCAGCAATACACGCAAGCAACAGAATTGGCAAGTAACAAGTAATGTAGTGAAATTGAATGAAGAAGAAAGAGAGAAAAGACATGCCTTTTTGATGGAAGGATCGAGCCACTCGTACCAGCGAGCTTTGCACTGCTTGGCGGACTTGCGAACGAGGAGGGAAGAGATGCGAGCCCACTGGTTCTTTCCATACTTCATCACCGCCGCTTTCAGGATCTCATCTTCAGTGTTTTTCCACACCCCACCCTTTATCATGATCCTCATCTTCGCTTGATTTGGTTTGTCACCCCCTCAGGAGGACCTCCTTCTCCTTCTCCTTCTAGGGTTTTTTAGAGGCTGGTGGTGCAGCTGCCATGCCGGTGATGGTGGCCTAGGGTTTTGCCAAAGTTAAGAAAACAGAAGTGAGAAGAGAAAATGGCAAGAAAAAAAATGTACAACGAAGCAGGTAACCGAAATTTTATCAAATAAATAAATAAAAGGAAGAAACTTACAAAAAATAAAAAATAAATAAATAAATAAAATTCACCCCGCTTGGCTTGAGTTTTCTAAAAATACCTTTTGAAAAATTTTATTTTCTTTTTTTATATTTTTTTATTTTTATCAAATTTTTAAAATTTTTAAACACACCTAACATAAGTACACTTAAAAAATATAATTTTTGAGAAATTATTTTTAAAAAATTCAATAAATACCAAAAATATATACAAAAAAAAATCAAAATTTAGTACATTTTTTATATTTTTGTGTATTTATTAATTTTTTTAAATATTTTTTACAAATATTTTACTTTTTAGACACATCTAAGTAAGATATATCTAAAAAAATGTTTAAAATTTTAAAAATATTTACTAAAAACAAAAAAAATAAAATTTTCAAAAGCTTTAATTCAAAAAATTCAAACTGAAAAAATTATTACACACTAGGGGAATAAAAAGTGATTAGACTAGGACGAATTACACACTAGTCAAATATTTTCAAAATAATTATTATAAAAAAATTATTGATCTAACATTATTTTTACTTTTACAAGTATATTATGTTTTGATTATAATAAGTACGAATTACACACTAGTCAAATATTTTCAAAATAATTATTATAAAAAAATTATTGATCTAACATTATTTTTGTTGATTTTGTTTCAACAATTTCTATATATATATATATATATATATTTTTATTTATTTTTGCAATTTACAATTTATAATTTTACAACTTCATTTAACTCAATCCACATAATTACTAGTACGGTAGTATACTAATATGACAAACTTTACACACATATTTATTAAACCCTAGGGCTAAAAGTGTTTGGGAAATTTGGTTCGAATTCTCTGTAATAAAATTTAATACATTAAGGATAAATATAAAAATAATTTCTTGAAAAATTCAGCATACATCACTATTATCAAAATATTCTTAGTGGCTAATTTAATATTTTAAAAACTTAAAATGATATAACTTTTGATCTAAATATCAATTTTTAATAAAATTAATATTTTTAGGCCAAGTTTGGCATCCTCCAAAAAATCCAAAAAGTCAAAAAGTCACTATCCTATTTAAGTCACATCATCTTATTTAAGTCACATCACCTCTCTAACACATCACTTCAAACCCAACCCAAATCCAACCCATATTTTATAAAAAGTCAAAAAGTGCACTTATTTAGTCTTCCCAAACTTGGCCTTAGAATCCTCTCATTAAGATCTATAAAATAAATATTTATCTTCATTAAGGGATGGTTTGGGATGATCTAAATAAGTGCACTTTTTAACTTTTTATAAAATATGGGTTGGGTATGGATTGAATTTGAAGTGATGTGTTAGAGAGATGATGTGACTTAAATAGGATAGTAACTTTTTGGCTCATCTTCCAAAACGCTTTTTTGCCTTATTTCCAAGCTCAAGTTGATATTTACATTATCACCTTGAGTTTGAGAGGGGTGTTAGCTATATGTAGTTGTGTTGCCATATATTGTGCATTACCATAGTTAACTTTCTTATAAGTTACTCATTCTCAGCCTATAAATCAGTCTCTTCTATTGTATTGTTAATTGTCTCATTCAATATAATGTATACAAATTTCTCTTTCTCTTTATTAGATATTGAAAAATGCTATTATATACACCTATAAAATGTGAAGATGGTTGAAAACTTTAACTAAAATCAAACTAGTTCATAACAAAATATCATACAAGCCTCCTAACGAAATTATCAAAGTCTAATGTATAACTTTGATTCTTAACAAAACGACAAAAGCCTACTTTACTTACAAAAACATCACATTTACTTTGTTTAATTTAGGCTTAAGCCAGCCCTAGTCATTGACAGTTAAAACCAACTCAAACGAATACTCAACATTTTTGTTTTGGAGGGATTGTAACGTTGCTGAAAACAAAAAAAGTCACTGTAGACACCCCATTTTTGACCGTCCATAAGACTTCGACGCGACTGATGATTTACATGGTGGAGAAAGATGTGCAAGGCAAAGGTTCAATTTCTTCGGTAAAGAGAGAGTCAAATCTCAACTTCATACCCCTGTTCTGGACCAGAACAATCTCAATCAAAAGATTTTAGACTTAAAACCCTCTCTTTCAAAAATATTTTTGAAATAAAGTTTCTGCGATGTTCCGAGGCTCGCATTTTGTCAAAAATTGCGCTTTTCGGTAAACCGAGCAAGGACAAAGTGGAAATGAATGAAAGAGAGATGAAATCTTTGAAAAATCTTTCAAAAAACCTTACTCAGGGGTTTGAAGTTGAAGAAAGAAGAGAAGAGAGAAGAAATCCAGTTGGGGGAGAAAATGGGCATGAACCGTTAAGAAAGAGTCGAGCAGCCCTCGCCGAATCGGGCCTATTCATTTGGATACTTGGAATCAAACTATGAGGCCACCACCATTGGAAATCTTACTCCTGGGGCTTCATTTTGCACTCAAGAATCTCCTAAATTCAATTCCGGACGGGGGAGATATGGTTGATTGAAGTAGGGCATCACTCTGGTTGGACTGAAATCTGCGCGGCTTTACGGAAACTGGCATAACTTTTTCCACAGGAGGAATTTTAATGTAAGTTTTGCGCCATTGGAAAGATAACTTCCGGGGCTTCAATTTGGACACTTGAATGGCCACCATTGGACTTCCCAATCACCCACCGGCTACTTTTCTTCCCGATAGCCTTTTTTTTGTCCTGAAAGTAGCTGGCCGGCCAGAAAACCTAGCTGGCCGGCCACCTATTTGGTGAAATGACTTTTTTGCCCTTTTAAACTAGCCGGCCATGCCCCCCTCCCCAAGTGTGTCCTAGAAGTGAATTTTGTTTTCCACTACACCCATGTCCGAGGGTTTGGCCATTTTGGGGGGAAACTTGATTTGTTTTCCCCCCCCCCCTTTTTTTCCCCCTCTTTTCCACCCCTTTTGCTTATATATACAGCCCCTCCCCTTCAGATTTTAGGGTTACAAAATTTGTTTTGAGAGCCTTGCATCAATTCCCCCCCTCTCTCTACTCTAAGCCTCAAAACACCAAGTCCTACACCCTTTTCTTCATCATCACCTAGCACCACACAACCACTTCCATTCCAGCAGCTTGGAGGCCTTCTCAGAGGCTAGGAGGAAGCTTTTCTTGGTCCAAGAGGCAGCAAAGGATTGGTCTTCAAGGGTGAGTTGATTTCTCCCTCTTTCTAGCTCATTTTTGCAAGTTTTCTTAGCCCCTTTTGCTTGCTATTTTGAGCTCCGACCAAAACTGAAAGTGGCATTTTTTTGAGCTCTATTTCATCTTTCATTAAGGGTCTTACCCTGTTTGGGACCCTCATTTTGCACTTGCTTCATTACCCCTTTGTATGCCATAATCTTGCATAGTATTTTTGGCCTATGTGTAATCTGTTTCAGAGCATGATGTAAACTGTAGATAGACTTATTTTGAGTCATTCTTCAACATTGAAGAAGGGCTCATCACTGTTTGGGACCTCCATGTGCCACTTGTCATTATACCCCTCTTTGGTCCCCATTTTTGCATGATTTATTAGCTTATTGTGTCTCTGTTTTTGGACTTTGGTCTGAACTGAAAATGGCCCTATTTTGACCCCCTCTTCATGTTTCATTAAGGGTCTATAGCTGTTTGAGACACCCTTTGTATACTTTATGTTGTAGCTCTTTTTTAGCCTTAATCTTGCATAGTATTTTGAGCATACTTGTATACTGTTTTGGGATTTTCCATCAACTGAAAAACATCATATTTTTGGCCCCTCTTCAATATTGTAGAAGGCCCCTTCTCTTTTTGGGGCCAGCATTTGTGAGTTGCTTCATTACCCCTCTCTTGGCCCCATTTTTGTATGCTAATCTAGCCTCATTTGTGTTCCATGTTTGGTCATGCTTTAAACTGTAAACATGCTTGTTTTGGGGCTGCCTAGCTTCTGTCTTCATACTTTATGTTCAAATTATGCCTGCATTGCATAGCTATAGGCCATTTTATGCGCCAAAATTCATGTTTCGGGACTCGTTCCATGCATCAGGTATCATTTTGCCATGATTCGGGGCTGTTTTGCATCTCATTTTGCCTCTGAAAATTGCATGATCATATGCCATATTCCATGTTTTGCCATGTCTTGTTAGAGTGGCATTCCGTGCCGTAGGTTCGGTCCTCGGTTTGCGTGCACGCGTGCATGCACTTCGAGTTGTCTCATTTTCATCTTATGACCTCCTATGTGAGTGTGGCTGAGGTCCACTTGTGTCGGTGTAAGTCCATATTGCATTGTGTATGCCATTCTATTTCATAGCATTGTGTATGCTAGGTTGTATATTAGTGCATTGTGTATGCCATGTTACCTCGTGCATCGTGTATGCCATTTCATAACATTGTGCATGTTAGGTTGTATCTTAGTTTGCATTCATGCATATCATGCATATTGCATTGTGCTTGGGATAGGAGTTAGCCCGAGCACGGAAAACGAGGTACGTTCCGTACTCCGAGTGACGGAACGTGTCTCAATTCCCTAGTCACCGACACTCCGGATCATCCATGATAGTGTTAGGTCTTGTTGTGTTTTCATGTGCATTCATTTCATATTAAATTGTGCAATTTGACTCCTCGGCCATCATGCATCGAGATGCGTGATTGGTGGCATGAGGATCGAGACATGCATATATTTGTGAAAACACATTGATATGCCCCTTCCCTGCTCTCTGTTGCAGCAAATCAAGAATCAGCGGTCTTCCGAGGCTTGGCACGCATTTCAAGAACAGGTGCAAACAGAGGCTAATTGGGGCATCGTCATGGATTTCCGCACAAAGGCAACCCGAATATGCATCATTCATCACCTGGAGCAGAATCAAGGCAGTCCCTGGCTTGCATGCCAGTTTATTTGTTTTCTTAGATAATTTGTTAATTAATTAGGAATTTGTACATATTTGGCTGTTAATATTTATTTGGAC